ATACGGGGGCATGGAAGATAGCGTGGGGGCACGCATGATACGTCCCCCGCATTTTTGACGTTAGCCCTGATGTGGAACGCGTAGGGAACACTATCCTTCGTGATGTACATTACTCCCTACACCGGTGGCCACAGTACCCTTCACACCGGCTGCTTAGGGTACCCCCCTTGATGCGATAGAGCCCCCGGCCCTCAATAGCGCCCCCCTTTTGGCCATGTCACAGGGGGGGGGGGGGGGATATATAGAGACTTCTACTGTAGCACACCGCTGGCGTGCCAAATTGTTGCATTCTTACCCTTTTGTTGTGTGTGCTCCGTTTGTAAATCATCATATTTCAACTTCAAGCGTTCCACAGGAGTGACCCAAGCGCTTCATGAATGCTGTGCAATCCCACTCTTCCCTGCAAAAGACATGCACACATCACACACGGCCATGATTAACATAAGGCAAACCTATGAGCTTTTGCCTGTCACCCACTATGGGCTCGGCGACGACAATTGCAGACGACCAACATGAATGACAATTCAATTAGAAACGGTGAAGCCGCACAACTACACAACCATATGGTTGTGCATGCATGCAGCGTATGACAACGAATTCTTAGTGATGCCAGCCTGGACTGTTCAAATGCCATGACCAGCTTTTCGCTACAGGAGATCTGGCTTGGCGATGCATACAAAGCAATACCATCTTGCCAACTTAAGGACCATGAAAGACTGCGAACATTGCGACAAGAAGACACGGTTGGTGCCTGTGAAATTTCTGTGCGGCACATGGTATTTGTTTATGATTTGGTGGTTGCTAAAATGGGAAGGAAATTTGATCTGAGATGTAAAGGAATTCGTACTGACGGAATGTATGCCGCATGCAATTTGGGGTGCACGCCTATGGAAGAAATGCCTACGGTGGGGAGGAAACCGACGTGGTGTTTGGCGAACATCACATTCAATCGTTCAGTTTGTTGCAAAAGACTAGAATATATGAAGATGAGATAGTGGTGAGCGGCAGGATAGACTTTCCATTTTTCGAACTTGGCATGTGGCCATCCTGTGTGTTGATGCTTCGAAGTGCGCCACCACTTGACACACAACCGAATGGGCGAAAGAAACTTGCAAAACAAGACTATACCAAAGCGCACGATTGTTGCCTAGTGATACGGTTGCTTTTGTAGATGAATTAGATGTATTTGATTACCCTAATTGGGTCTGAGTTGGGTAAACTGGCTCTGGGGTGGTTACAAAGGACATGGGACAATGAACGGAGCAATTAAAGACAATCTTGTATAATGTACAAATATAGTAACCGCCCGGGGATTCCGACTAGAGGTGGCCACCCGGATCCGTTAATAGCGGAGAGAGGTTAATTCCGCTAATTATTCCGTTAATTAACGGAAAATAACGAAAAAATACAAAAATTAACCAAAAATTAGCGGATTTTTGGATTTTTTGGGGATTTTTGGGTTTTTTTCATACTTGTAGTTTATGGAATTCGCTATTAGAGAGTATGTTTGTATTTTATTTCAACCTATGCATACTAGATTTTCAACTAGCCGCAGTTGTTTTGATTTTTTGGGTTTTTTTCGATTTTTTGGATTTTTTTCGTTTTTTCTGAATTTTTCTCCCTTTTTCTTTAACGAAATTTAACGGACAGCTGATAAAAATTAACGAACCGGATTTAGCGGACCGGATGGCACCCTTGAGTGGCCACCTCTAATTCCGACTCCCCGTTTCATCCGACCGTGCGCCCGAGGGAGCTTCCAAGCTCCCGCATCACCTAGTTTGACGATAACGTTCAACATTATCTCTTGGAATTTTGGTGTTGTAAGACATTGCAGCCCAATCTTGTCCATTATCACTTGGGCTATCCCTCGACCTGCGGGCAGTGAGGAAAGACGGAGTGTTGCGCCCAACTGGCGAGCACTCATTGGACGTCTTAATCAGTCCCTTGATGCCACAACCAGCTGTTTATTGTCTACTTTCACCTACGCCTCAGTACTGCCTGCGTTCAGACAGCAAGGCCCCTGATTCCTAGATGAAAGAGCTGCTGTTTTCCAAGCCGTCTGTCACAATCTCCCCTCATTCTTCATTCCGGGTTTACTATCAATGTCGCATTTAGTTGAGTGGGCCCATTCAACTTTCCCGACAGCTCAATTGAACTTGCAAGTGTATTCTTCCACCCACCCGGTCAGTGATGCGCCAACAGTTGAGCTGATTGAAAATATTACCAACGGAAATGTTAACATTCCAAGTCGGAAGAGTAGAGCCCGCTGATTCATTAGGCGCATAGAGAAGACAGTCCAGCTTGACGTGTTTCCCTTTCAGTAATTGCTCATGTGATAACGGCCAGTGCGGTCAGCCCTTGGCAGCCTCTTGCCGGCAGTCGCGCCCAAGCACAGGAGGCAAACAAGACGGTTTGCACGACGTGCTCTACGTCCAAAACATAGTATTGCGACAGATGCCATGTCACTGTCCTGTCCATTCACTATTGCCACAACCGACTTGTACAACACATATCATGTACACCAATGGCGCATATTTCCCTGCACGCAGAACGTTCTCACAAATGTGGTCAGTATTTTGCTGCTGCAGCTTCATGGCAGGCAATGGAAGCTCAACACATTCCCTTCTTATTCTTCATTGGTTTCTCTGCCAATTCGGACGCCGTCGCGATACACGTGGGCCAACCTTACAAAGGCGTGTACAAAGCAAGACCTATCCCAGGCGCGTCCTGCTGAACAAATGTGGGCAGCAAGGTACGAGGGCGGCATTCCCATCAACTTCAACCATTCTTGGCCGCTTTCGGGTGCATGATTGGCACCGTTGATATTTCTGCATGGCAATCGACCATCTGGTCATTAACAAGCCCCACCGCCTGCATGAATGTATAACAAATTGTTGGGCCGACGAGCTTGAAGCCACGCTTTTTCAGCCCTCTGTTCATATTATCTGATTCTGGACTGCTAAAGGCACAAAATCTCAAGCAAGAGTTTTGTTGGCGAACTAACATTGCTATAGAGCTGTAGCAGCTTCGGAAGATGTTGTGAGCATGACAGTGCCTGGTGACTGCGCGGGTGGCGGCTTAAAAAGAACAACCGTTGTTCATCACAACACTGTGTTGAACACTGGAGTCACATCCACAGAACAGAATATTCAGTGAACGCCAACCGTCGTGTAGAACAGTGGCAATGTCGAAAATTGATAAGAAGCTATCACAAGAAATTGCACATTGCTCAAGAATGGAAAGCTAGTTGGCTGCAGGGTGTTTCGACCACAAGGTGTCAAATTGCTGTTCGATTGGAGAAAACCACAGAACAGAAGAGGAAAAACAAGCACCCCTCCTTTTGTGGCCGCACTTTGTAGGTAGCTGAATTGGCGTTGTCCAGCCGTTTATTATAGTGAAATGATGTGACCTGCACATGATGGACAAATCGCAAGGCAACATGCCCATTGTCAACACTACTAAGCATGTTGGTTTTGAGCCACGTGGAGGCAGCTGTGCCCACATGCCCGACAATTGGTTCCTACACAAGTGCTTGGTTGCCAATCTCATCCCATGAGCTTCCTTGTGAGTTGGTGCAAGCAAGAAAGCGAATATGCAGTTGGGCTATTCCTGTCTGCTATTGAAAGACTACACTACTTACATTGCATTGCTCACCACACTCAAGACTTTGGCTCTGTTCTTCACTATCCCAGAGTCTGAATTCAGTAGGGCTTGTATTGAGACATTGTGGATATTGGCTACTTCCTCGGGGTCAAAATTTCTGAATGCCTTGCGACATGCAGCCCTCTTGTGAAGAATACTGGCCCGTTTGGGACCTGCCTAACTGAACAACTTGCAGTGGATGCCAAATTGATGTGCATGTCAGCTCACCAAGAACAACAATATCTTCATGTACCAGTCTTTGGCAAGAAAACATGAACAGACAACAAGAACACCTCAGTGCATGGTCGTGCACTATGTTTTAGTGGTGCAAATAGGATTTCAGAGCTCAAACTTGGGAAACATCGCAATTCTCAGAATAGTTGCCAGTACTGCCCTTGTGCAGTAAAATTCTTGAAACGAACTGTAGTGCTGGTTCACGAACAGAGACAAGTGCAGATTCGGTGCCCTGGGTGCACGATTGCGGATGCGTCCAGATCATGCTGGCAGGCTGGGGAATCACAGTACTGAGCTGCCGGGGAAAAGCAACTGAACATGCAGAGGAAGTTCTGTACCTGCGCTCCCCCAAGGGCCAGCATTTCGAACAGCTTGGCATCATCATGCACAAGGCGGCCCCATTCTTCATCATGATATCGGTCGTGCACAACCTGCCATACCCCATGGCGACTGCCATGCCATGGGCATCTGATGCATGCAAGTAAATTGTCAATTACCCCACGTACACGGTGGAACGTTGTGCAGGATATGTTTTTGCTGTCTGAATTGCGGCAGTCTCGTACCTGACGTCACGACGGTCGCAGTCCAGTGTCGTGTTGCCTAACTTCAACATGCGTATCGATGGTCGGCAACCGTGGCCAGCTGTGGCCAAGAGTGTTGCTGATTCGATTGTCAAACGCCGCGCCAGCTGACAACGGAGTCGCTGCACAGTTCCAGCTTCCCACAGTCCAAGCGCCACCGAACACGGAGATCCGAATCGACTCACCTGTTGACTATCGCCCCATCAGCCTCCCTGGACCCGTCGGATCCCGGCTTTTTTGCGCAATCCCCGTCGGTGTCCGCAGATTTACGGCGTTTTCCAGGTCCGCCCCTCGGCTGTTTTCCTTCTGAGGAGGCCCTGAGCTTTGCGCTGCCCCTCCTGGGCATCGCCTAAAATGGAAGCAGGACTGGAGCAGTAACTCCGTTCTCCCAGGTAGCACATGCTGTCCAGGCAACACATCACCGCATCCCAATGAATGAACCAGCCAGTCCAAATTAACGGGAGCGGTGGGCTGCTCAACAATTCTCCAAGCCGAGGGACACATCCCTCTCATCCGCAGGCGACGGAGGTCGTCATGCAGCCGATGCCGAAGCGCTTGCGGCTCATCGAGGACGACGGCCGAGAGGAGTTCGCGGAGTCGAACTTGTGGAAGAGGCTCGCCGTCACAGAGGAAACTCGCCACCAGCCGCAGCGCGGCGCTGCGCAGCTTGAGGCGGACCAGGAGCAGCTCCCAGGGGATGAGGAGCAGGTTGTGACGAACGGGCGTCGCAGGCCACGCGCCCAGGCGTGGTGAACGCCAGGGAATGAACTGACTTTGTTCCAGCTCAAGAGAAGGGTGCATGCAAGAATAGCAGGGCGCCAACTGGCACTGATTTCCATCATAGAGATGAAAGTAGGGAGCAACATGCAAACAATTTCGCCAATATTTCAGTGTGCTGATTGCCAGTCAGTGGAGCTTGCTTGCAAAATTTACTGAGGCAGGAGACCTCAATTTGCAGACTCCCCAGTTCTGGCAAGGGCAAGGGCATGCACGTGTGGCACAGGGTTCTGCCTCTGTACGTGCACCTGCAAAACCGCTGTCTCGGGGCAGGCCAGAATAACATTGCCTCAATATGGAAGACTATAGTGCCCTGCCTTTTCCAGGCACACTGTGTCCGCACTATGGCCAGCATATCTGGGAGCCAGCAAACTGAGACGGCAAACAACCAACCGAGGGGTGAACAGTTGGGTTGGCCTGCAGGAAGACGACATTGCTGCCACACCCCATGAAGCCATCGAGAGTTTGGCAGCAGCACGGGTGAGCCAGCCTTGGCGCTTGGGGAGGAAAAAATGAGACAAAGATGAGCCCTACCAGATTTTTCCAACGAAACTGGCTTCACAACGTTCGTCCAAGTTTAAGCTGTGGAGTCACTCACTGTGAACAAATGCCACAAACATGCCACACACACTTCTGCTCTTCCACACTCATTTCTTATGCTGCCATTTATATGTGATGGGTGTGGTTGGATGGCAGGCTACTAACGAATAGGGAACAAACAGTGTTTGGATGGGCAAGCGCTCATCACCAACTTTCAAGTTGAAAGTGCGTTTGTTTTGACCTGAAACAGCAGGCACACAACAGGAAGTTTAGTATCAGGAGTCTTCTTTCTGACTTGTGGTCAGCCATCTGCTGTGAAATTGTTCTCAGTTGCAGCTTCAAAGGGAGTATCTTGTGGCTGTGCCTGGATTTGCAGATGGACTGCAGGTGCTCATGACCAAACCTTTGTGTTCGCAGGGCGAGGTTCACCTTGTACTGGACCTCATCAAATGGTTGATCGATCGCAATGGCCAAGAAGTGGCTGTCACGCCCATAACTGATACTCGCAACCCTGTGCAGCGCCTGTCCCAGCTTGCAGAGGACTGTGCTGTGCGTTGTGGCCACAAGCAGAGTGCCTTGAGTGCGGCAGGTACCCACCTGAGGGCAGGGGTGCAAGCACTGAGAGAGCGGTGTAGAAGGGAGAACACGTTCTATTACGAGCTTGCTAAACTTCAGAGCTACTGGAAGGTACACTTACAGTTGTGGGGCGAGATCGTGGGGGGCCTGGATGGGACATGCTGGGCACATTGATGTGTGCCTGGCAGTAGGGTTCGAGATGTACATGGTAACACCAAAGAATGCATTTGCTGTGTTATGATATCACTGCCGGTCTCTGCACTACCTGCAGGCCCTCTTCATACAGGCGTCCACTGTTCCTTGTAGATAGGCAGTGCGAGGTTCTGAGTCATAGAAGGCAGGAGAGAGCACAATTCAATCATCCTGGTTAGCGTGCCATGGCAAGCGTAGGGATATCTAAACCCCACTCACTACAGGTGGAAAGCGGGCCCCTCAGAACCCACTGGAAAGGCCTTATACATGCAGTTTTGTGCACTGGAGTTGCTTGGAGCTAGCTGCAGTAAAGTGGCACGGACTTGAAATGGCATTTGCCTATGTTGTAGGATGTCAGGGGTCGTTTGCATGTGTCAAGCAACTTATACTGCTCCATTCATGTTTGCAGGTCCAGCACAATCCATCTGGGTCAGAGGCAGACTTTTCCTTCGACCTGTTTCTTGGTCGAACAGCTGAAAAGCACAGCACCCATCAACCTCCTCCCCGTGTGAAAGTGGATATCCTGAAGGACGCGATGGGCCAAGTGAAAGTCTCCATTGACAAAGAGTACAGGAGCAGCTGGAAAGGTACCAGATCGCGATTGGTTGATGCTGATGATACCAACGAAGATGGGGGCTCTTCACCGCAGTTTGCGATTGGGGGCCATGCTGTGCATGCTCACTTGCTGCAGCAACAGCAGGAGATGGTGTGGTGGTTGCTCGAGGAGACACTGCATCGCCAAGGGGCCAAGAGCGCGCACCATTTCAACTTTTTGCAAACTTTGACGAACAAGGTAAGACGTGCCCTGGTTCGTGCATTGTTATGTGGATTGCTTTCCATGGCACAATTGTGGGAACAAGCGCTCCAGCAGGTGTTTTGCTACAAGAGTTGCGGGTTGTGCCTGCCGCTCCTGTTTCATTCTTCTAGTTGCAATTCTTCTGAAGCACCTTGCGTGCAACGAGTGAATGAGTGGTTGCCAGTTCCACATGTGTCTCAATGAATACGGCAGGCGAGTGTATTGCTGTGTCCGAGCTGCGCTACTATGAAATAACCATTCTTCTTGCACTTGCGGCGTGTGACTTCTCACTGTGCGAAATGCAGCTGCTCACAAAGACGGCCACAACTCAGGACCCAAGCCTTGCAGCATTTGAGCCGTTTCTGTTGCAGCACTTCCTGAGCCACTTGTTTCAAACGCCAATGTCAAATACCATGGTGGGAACACCCGATGGCAACAAGCTGCTCTCCGAGGTGGTTCTTTGGCTGGGGCACGCTTTGTGGGGCCGACAGCATGCGTGGAGGGAGGTTGACAAACACGTAAGCTTGCATGTGCACAATTTCGCCAGAATCGAGTGGTGGGTGGTGCAGTGAGGGGTCTTCGACCAGCAGCCACTACACAGAAATTTACTTCCAAATGCACAGCAAGCGTACGATGCGCAATGCATGAATTTTTTGCCCTTCCTAATGATCCGTAGATTGCCACAGAACTGTGTATATGCATGTCAACCTTCACAGCTTCACAGCACCCACGATGGCATGAACAAAGACATTATGTCAGAAGCAGTGCATGGGTTCATGCGTATCATCGATTTGACAGCTGCAGGGACTGATGCATCCGAAGGATGGATCCACACAGTCTTTGCTTGGTATACGCCACTGGCCAATCTCAGCATCGTCTTTGTTGGTGAGCAAGTCTCGCAACCTTCCAATTCCTTTGCAGAGGTCGCTCGTCATTGTGCATGCTTACAGGTCGCCAACGTCGATAATGTGACACTGCATTGGCAGCAGAGCTGGCACCCCTGCTTATCTGTCCTCCGAATTTGTATCCTGGGCAGTTTCAGCGGTTTGCTCATGGTTCGCGGGATGGGATTAGAACTGGAGGGGCGAGGCCAACGACAGGATGGGAGCGCTGCCTACTTTGCAATGCAAACCTCTCATCATGAGATATCGCAGTTGATGCAAGCGATGCAGTCTGGACAGCAGCACGACGGAGATTCTGTAGTTGAGGCGTCGAGTTCAGTGGTGTTGGAAACGTGACTGTGCATGTTGTGCACAAACCTAAAGCGCCATCGCACAGATCGCTGTGGCAGCGACGAGTGGACGGCAGTCGCATCCAGAATGGAGCGGCACTGGGGCAGCACATAGGACGGGTGCTGTGCTATGTGCTTTGGTTTTCCGATTGGTATCAATGGAATAAGCTGGGGTTCAGGTGTCCGCGCTCCAGCTGTTGAAGATGCTTGGCATCAAGTGTAAAATACCACTGCTATGTCAGGACACAGGGTTTGTCGCTGGTGCGAATGCCCAGTCGCAGACTAAACTCGGCTATGGTCAGCACGGTGGTGTCCTGACGCTCAGAGCCAGCAATCAGCACCTCTGGATAGTCATGTGTGGTTAACAACAGACACGTCCATGCTTGTGCATTTGCATGTCCAACAACACTTCATTCCATCGGCTGCAGCGTACTTCAGTTCCGACCCCTATTCTGGTCTGCACCGATTCACAGGCACCATGAAATTCCTTGTTATATGATGTTGGCTAGTCAACGCCACGTGACAAATCACAGCACCTGCACCTTGCAGCCATCTCGCCATTGGGTTGGGCAGTGTTTGCTCGTGTGCAATGAGCTACATACAGTAGGTATTGATACACCCAGCACACCCCAGAAGAATGCCACGGGTTACACAGCTACCCGGCCGCACAGCCATTCCCTTCCACAAGACACCATTGTGAATGCTCGATTTCATTCTTGTTCCCAACGATTCCAGCGACACCCCATTCGTAACCTTATTGCCTTAGGTTGCACTTCGATATGCACTGTCAACAGTGGGGCTCTTCTCTGCAACACAAAAGGTGGTGCTTCACAAAGAAGGGGGAAGAGGAACTGTAGACGCGCTTGCAGCACAGGAAAGTCCTGCCATGGCGAAAACCCAGCTTGTGATCCTCATCCTGAAATTCGCTTTACAGTTCCTGGCCCAACCCTGAATGGCCTGACTCCGGAGCGTCAGGGCTAGCACGCTCTTGACTTGGTGGGTCTGCTTTTTCTCCAGCAAGTGATTTGGTATCTTGCCGCTACCAAAGACAAAAGAGCACAGTGAGTGAATGCAATGGCCGGATAAGCATCACCAACTTGTGTTCTAGTGGCCATTAAAGTCTGCTGCCAGCACGAGTTTCCCAAATGTACACGCAGCTCAGGACAGCTCAAAACCTGGCCCTCAGCCGCCCAATATATATGAGGCCATTGTGGGCCTCTGCACTGCCTTGGGCCATGTTCATGGCCACGGCTGTGATGATTCCTTTCAAGCACATATCCCATTGCAAGATCAAGGAACCCACCATGAACTCCATGTAGGAGTCGTAGGCCTTCTTGGCTCCTTCCTTCACTGTCGCCCTATCAGGCGAGTATGCATACAAGAACCAGACGAGCACCGCAGCCATGGAGGCACAAACCAGCTGCAATATACCCCAACAGGCAGTATCTCAGCCAGCAGTGGAAGCTTGAATGAAGCAAGCAAAGTGGGGCAGCAGGTGGCTGGTTTGCAAAACCGGCACAGGATAATTGAACAGCTCAGGTGTGCCTTGGGGGTTGCTACTGGTAGCGAATATTCTCAGCTCCAATTGCAAGGATGATCATATCACTCTCAAGGAGATTTACACTACAGACCCCACATCCTAAAAAGATCCACATTGTGCTTGGATGCACAGCAAGACAAGATCTTGCAAAATCACAGAAAACAAGTGCTCAAGCGAAGTGCTTCAGTCACTGGAGAGCCTGTGCACAACAGACAAAACATTATCTAAAGCCTGGCTGGCTGTGGTAGGAGTGATTTGATAATGACCAAGCCAATGCAGGACATGTGCAAGTGCAAGTGGTTCCTCTTCACTAAACTGCATAGCGCATCCCCTCACCCGCAGCAGCCAATGAGACATTTTCCCCTTGGCCTTTTCGCACGTGAATGCAGGTTTGAACATTGTGGTCACCTGGACAAATAGTTGAACGGGTCAGACAGTGAGTCAGTGAGTCTTGCCCAAGTGGTTGCTGGTCTTGCGGCCAGCATGAACGCTCAACAGAAGTGCAAACACAAACGTCAGCTTCCACCACGATCACTGCATCGCATTCATAGAAGAGCACCAGATGCACCCTGGAGGTCCAAGAAGAAACAGAGCTGGACAGGAGTTTCAAGGCGAAAGCTCATTGTATCTTTGCTGAACGGTAAGGTCTCTCCTGCCAATTACATGCACATGTATGCTCGGTTACTACTTACATCATCGGAATCCAGCAGTTGAGGGAAGAGCCAGACCTCGTAGCCCGTCAAAACCCATGGCACAGCAAACAGCAGCCAACGAACTGCCAGCAAACAGCACAATCGCCAATATTCAAGGGATGTCATACCACAGCCAATCTGATCTTCTCGCAAAAATGTGGCAAGGTCGATAATCTTCATTTGTCTTTTGTCTTTGTCTTTTGTCTTTCATTTGTCTATCTTTATCAGTGCCCGTCCTTGCCCAAATCCCATGTTTGTAGTGGGTGGGGTGGGGGATGGTATTGGATTCCTGGCTTGTGTCAAGCTCTTCAAGTGATGCTGGCTACAACAGCAAATAGCTTTTTAGCAACAAATGCCTGTGCAGTCTAACAGTGAAGGGCTCAGTGTTGCAAGCCTTCCAAAAGTGCAACAAAAAGTACAGAGTGCAGGGGCAGGCAACGAACAAAATCGCAAAGACAGCCCACTGTTTCGTATTCAAGACTTTGCAGCAACGACACTGTTGATCACATCGTTACAGGGAAAACAAAAGCTGTGACATGGTCACAGTGGGGTGGCAATGTTCATCGTCGATGATGCACTCACTTGACAGGAATCCTACGAGCAAAGCGAGCAGTGTTAGAGATGTGTGCGACACGTAGAGCTGCAAAGCAACACACAGACAAAGAAATTTTAGAATTGAGCACAGCAAGGGCATCCACAACACCTCCACAATGGTGCTCATGCAGGCAACTGCATGCACAGCATCTTGGTGATGACTTGATGATGGGATCTATAACATTGATCACTTGCACTTGGCATTGCCTTTGGGGCAACGTCCCCTAAGGCAGGACCACTCCGCATTGCATGTTGTCCCTTTGAGCCATTATGCTAACAGGGCACCGGATGCAGTAACAACTCCAAAAAAAAGCACTGTCTCAGAAGCATTGAAAGAGCAAATTAGAGCCTAGAACGTAATCTTCCATTGTCTTCGAAGTATATGCAGTGCTACCCATGTTCAGATTTGTGCAACAGCTGATCAGAACATCGGAAGATCAGAAGATGGGTTCCATTTCCTGCCATATACTTGGGCCATCCACAAGAGATACAGTGACAGCACTAAAGGCTTGATATCTTCACCAGTGGGATTGTTGACCGATGCACAATTAGGGTCTCTGAGAATATCAACCCACGCACAGACAGCAAAGGCATGAGATAGAGATGCTCACCTTCACTTGATATGGTGCCAGGGGGAATAGGCAGATGCCAAGCACAGCAAGCACCATCAGAGTGGACCAGAACAACAGATAAGGCGAGGATGGTCGCTCATATTCCCAGGAGTAGAAAGCCCCCTCAGACCATTTTTGACCGCCCTACAAAACAGTTGCATGTCAGAAGTCGACCTCTGCAAGAAGGGACAATCGAGGGCCACAACTTATCATTGCAGCAAGATCAATGCCATCAAAACCTCTGAAAATCTGTGTGCTCTGGCCTTGTGAATTTGTGTTCTGCTACATGAGCATTGTGATGCCAGTAACCCTTAAGCACAACGAGGAAAGTCCCAGGTTGGTGTGGTTCAAAGGAAAATTGTGGGCTGGAAACTTGTGTGCCTGTGAAGGTGTGGGTACCAAAGTGCAATAGAACACATATACGTTTCCTCCTTTGAATTGCAATCTCATCGCCGGTGCCGTATGTGCTGAGCTCCATCAAATATGTGGTGATAAACAAGAGGCAGCATGGGAAACCACCACAGAACTCACCACAGAAATGCAAACTTTGAAATTGGGACGGCATTTGTTCATCTGAAACAGGCCATAAGTACAGACTTGTCCTTTTTGTACTGCAATGAGCCGCATCTGTACCTGTTGTGGAGGTATCCGGAGGAGCGTTTTAGGCCACTTCACAAGCCTTTTCAGGCTGGGCTTGTGTTTCTTGTACTTGCGCTCGGTCTTCAGAACCAGGAGCTCCGCCAGAAACTTGTCGCCCAGCGCGGATATGCGTTCTTCCACGCTCTTTGGAGCACCTAAAGGCAGCCGCGCACCACATTCAGCACACGCCAATTTGACAAACGATTGCAGAACTGCAGACAAGAGGACACAGTTTTGCACGATGGCCAATCCATGAATCGGGTGTGCACGGCGCAGATCAAGGAGAGCGGGCGGCAGCCGGGGTTTGAGAGGCCGGGTCCACCTTTCTCAAAGAATGGCTCGAGCAGCTCGGGATTGGCCCTGAAATGCCGCGCGAAGTCCTTGCCCCTGAAGTACTCAACCCTGACGGCGCCGTGTCCCAGCTCCAGCTTGGCGTAGTTCCAAGGGACGCCATTCCTCGCCCTCAAGGTGTCCGCAAGGGCCTTGAGCTGGTTGTCGGGTCCCTGACCGCCCAGGCAGGACATCGATCAGGGGATGGAATTGGCGCTAAGTCGCATGCGCTCGTTGCGAACGTAATCGCGCTGTGCACACCTCTTCGGTACCTCTTTTTCCCTGAGCGCCCGACGGCTTGGACATTCTTTTGGCTGGGCGTCGGTGCTCAGGTCCGCTGGCGCTTTAGCCACTGGACGGCTATGTACGCCGATGTTCGCATCAGTTTCCAATGCGCAACGTGTCCTACCAATGGCCAAGTCCACTACTTTGTTCAGAACATGGGCTTCCAAATTTTTGCGCTCGCTTGTCTCAAGCATTCCATTCCGTTGCATTTCGGTGCAGGGCTTGTGGGTAGCGAGGGCCTGCCCGGAGCCATTCAGGCGACGTGAACATGATGGAACAGTCCTTTTGTTGAACGCTTCAGCTCAAACAGGCGGACCCACACTTGTGACTCTGACTGCGAGGCCGTCTATAGACTAGAGTATACCAAAACTAACATGGCTATGACTGGAAGTCCATCTTGATCAAGGCGTGACATCCGTCTGTGCGCCCTGCCAAGCGGCCACGGCTCAATCAGTGACTCAGCGTGCAGGTGGTGTAGTTCCAGGCCAGCACACTTTCACTCAGACCATTTCAACACAGCCAGCGTGTGTTTCGCATGTGCGGTTTGAAGAATCGCTGAACGATGATCTGGGTTCGGGGCGTTCATAACTGATCGGATTGGCATCTTATGTTGGACGTGCGTCTTCTTGCATCTTTGTCACTCTCAAGATGCCCAAGCGCATCGATTAACAGCTTTGGCTGTCAGCGACATTCTAGGCAAATACCAGAGCGATGCTGCTTCCATTAATTTCCAGGTATCGATGCATTGTAATTGCATGCAGACCACATGATGCCCATGGTGGCATTGGTGGCCACAGTCATTCAAGATCCACGGAGGATACCTGTGCTGGTATTCATTTGGGACATGGCGCACACTCCAACAACCACAACAACCACCATGCACTACAATGTGGTGACTGGCAGATTGATGTTTTCGCTTGGTCATATCCTCAAGCTGGGGACCTGGCCATTCACTCAATGTCATTGTAACCGTAACTCTGCTGGAAGATATCAGCAGGTACAGGACTGCAGATGCGTTTGGGTTGTTTATCATGTGCACGGAAAAGCTGAATTGGACACAGGGCCCACCCAGGAATCTCAAACTGCGCATATGAGCGACTCGCTGTTGTTGCCACCACTGCACGATGATACACGGTCTGTTGCATTGACAAGGGGCATGGCATGAATATACTAAGCTACAAGGTTCCGAGGCGTGCCCTATATACCATCGATAAGCAGATGTAGATGAGCAAGTGTCATCAGCCCACTGCCCCCCACATGCGCATGTGCAGATCGGGACCATCACGTCTATCAACGATGCTTTGCACCAGAATCCATTGCGCGCAAGTCCAGGGTAATGATGTGCTGCACATTTGCGTCGTCATCCAGATCGCCATTGCATTTTGCCATGAGCAAACAACACCAGTTGTCAGGCTGATAGCCAGCTCCTCAGGGCGCCCATTCTCTCGCCAAGCGAGACTATGGTGCTTCTCTCCGCGACCTCGCCAGATTCGGAACCCAACATTGCAAGCAATTTCCCAATGTCGGGTCCCTGCATGGAGCCCTGGATCCGAACAGCACCGGTCAGATACACCAGTCAGTGTAATGGTTTTTTGTGCTGCAGCCCACCAATGACAGGAAAATGAGTGCAGGCCATCGCATGCACCACCACAGCAAACACAGCATTCTGGGATGCACGTGTGGTTTGTGGCCGTGAGCACTGCAGATGCCACGAACTGCGCTGTTGGTGCATTCTGCTGAGGAAGCTTGACTGATTTATTGAAGCGCCACCACAGAAGCCACAATGCCAGGGCTCTTTCATTCTCCTTCCCATTTTGGAGGTAAGAACGATTGAATAATGAATCCACCAAACGTCAAGGCAAAATAATGAAGAAGTTCCCTGCACCTATGCGCAAGACCACAACACAAGTGCTCTACCAGAGAAATGGAGAGTTTCAATGCAGATCTCTTCTCACCGTAAGCGCAATTCGCAATGGCATAAACAGCCTCTTCCCTTTCCTGTCCAGCTCCTTGCCAGTCTTCTTCACCCAAGGCTGCATATTGGCAGAAGAAACCATTTCTTAACAATTCAATGAAACCATACACTTCCCAAACACCCCTATCCCAACATAGATGCTGGAGGCAAGGGAAGGCCAACAAATTCTTCAGCTGACAACACGAATGCAGATCGTCGGCCACTCTCATGCGATACTTACTGAAAATCCTGCAGCATTATCCTCCAAAGCCCCTTGCAACGACCCGTCATCGTAGGCAGCCACAACTGCCATTGCAACTTCCTTGAATCCATCCTCAAGGATCTGAATTGCAGTCAGCCCATCAATAGCTTGAAATGGTGACTTAGGTGCCACTGAGTTATTGGCTGTTGTGCGTGCCAGATTGTGAACATCGATGGAACAACAAGGGTATGCCAATCGTGCTCTGCTGCTCCCCAGATCACTTAAATGGTGACGTCAATCCTTTGTGATGAAGAGAAACAGGGGATCACTTTCCACCAGCCCACCCTTGCAAATTGGACAAACTCCCATTGGCCCATGGGCGTGTGTGATCCAGGCTCACCAATCCTACCTTTTGAGCCTTTGAAGAGTTGACAGTCTCCTCGAGAGGGTAGGACAACAGAGCGCGCAATTTGGCATCCCCATCTTTGACTAGTTCCTGCAGCCACCAACGACTCTCCAACTCACTTCTTGCCCTACTGCCACAAAGATGGCTAGTCTCTCACTGGGGCATGCGAATATCATCAGGCTTGTGAGGATCATCAAGCATGTGCTCAGCAGTTGTAGCATGCTCTATGTTGTACCTTCTTTGGCCACTGAGCCCACCAGCCCAAGCTTTGAAGAAGGCATGCCCATGGCATACAGCATGTATGCCATGCACCCACACCCACTTCTCAATTGTGCACTCAATTCAATAGCCAAAGCAAGAAACCCTAGTTAGTTGGGAAATCCAACTTGTGTTGGTTTCACTGCAGAATGCACTTGTGGCACTGCTTTTGGATGTCAGGAGAATCCCATGCACAAAATGCTGGGTTGGCATCCAGAGCGTGGAAACAAGCTGTCAGGTGTTGGCAAGTGCATCTGCAGCGCATACGCCTCGGGCCCTTTCCCACCAGTGAATCCTTCACAAGCTCAACAGCTCGGTCAATGAAAGTGCCGTCTGACCCTTTTAACAAGCCCGAAGTTTGCCAAACATCAATGAGTAGTGGTCGCACTTCATCTGTTGGCATCGTCCGCAGGTGCTGACCTGTGGCACAACGATTTTCCTGCTCAGCCAGCGCTCGCAGTGGCAGCAGCAGCAGGCCCCTGCCACCAGTCCTTGAGCACAATAGTTTGGTCAGACAGTCTTCTGCCATACACAGAATCTATGAGTTGGCGGCCACAATAACTAGGCAATCCAACCCAGGTGGTGCAAGAATGCAGGGATGCTGCATTTTCGATGTGGTTAAAGCACAGGCTCACACGGGGCAGCACAGGCTGGCTGCAGGCTTTTCTAAATAATTGGCAAGCATCCTACCCCTTGGTGCCAAGACGCTCAGGATACCCTGTAGCAATCCCACCCTGAAGTCCGACGCTTGGGAAAATCCTGCCCCCATTAACTCACCATTCATCCACGCAAGTTTCGTCTTGTCAAAAACAGCTCCGCTCTTTGTGATCCGATCAATTGAAAACTTATCTTGCAACTCCTCCAACTGCAGCACAACAGCATTCCCTCAAGACAAGGGCCAGAGATTTGGGTTTCTTGCCAACAACTGTCTGCAGCTGACAATCATGCAGCCTTGCCCCTGATACTGTGCACTGTGCCTCAAATTCAGTGTTCCAAGGCATTGCTGGTACCCATGACTTACTATGACACATACATTACGAAATACAACCATCTGGCAGCCCCACTAGAAAAATGCACTTTAGATAGAACGCTTCAAAATATTCTTGCACTATACCAGCAGTCCGCAATGGTAAGGAATCTATAAGTACGGAAAAGCACTGACACGCAAAAATCAGATGTTCACCCCCTTGTGTGCTTCTTGTTGCACAATTGACTGACACCATCACTGCATTTATGACATGTTATTGCTCTGTGCATGCATGCACGCGTTACTGTTCTGGTCAATTACTGTTGGTTGTCTGGTGGGAAGCACAAGCCACCAGAGTGCCAATGCCACATAGGAAATCTACATGCAGCGCTTCCACGACATGGAACTTATACAGAGGGAAATGAGCGCAAACACGATTGCTGTCACAGTTGCTCATATGCACTCTTTGTCTCTCAAGAACTTGGCTAGCACAAAGCAGCTCACAAAACTTTTTGTTCAGCACAAACTTCATATAGCTGCAAGCCCGGCCATGTTCGCCTCATGTGCCAAGGTTGGAGGTGGCAAGTTCAGCATCGTAGCAGCAACGCTGCGGCCATTCAGCTCATGTTCTATCCACAATGCGTGCTGATGATGCCCAGCCACGCACACATCCTTAGTACATTGAACATCTGTTGAGCTATTGTACAGAAATTCGTGATTCAGCTTCAAACACAAAGTGATTCATTCTTGACAGTGACTCATTTCCACAAGGATAGCAGCAAGGTTTTTTGCTCACAAACTCTTATCAGTGTTTGTTTCTTATGATAGACCACACTTGATTCTTGCAGTGAACTCTTACCGTGTAGATTTCTTGCTCAGTTCCGTCATTCCATCCCAGAAGTGACAGATAATTAACCATAGCCATTGGCAGGAAGCCTTGATCCCGAAATTCGCCCACTGACGTGGCACCATGCCTGGTGACACAATAACGTGGTGTCAGCTGGTACAAGATGTCTGCCAACACAGGAACCCCTGCTGTTCCACACCAGAGAGGACCAGAGGCAAGAAGTATATCTGCAGATTCTGCCATCAGCACGGATGTGAGCGGAATCCTTGAATTCATCATAATTCAAACAGATGGACTGCCATGTTTGGTATGTGCACCATTCTTGCCAAGAAGAACGCATGATGGGCCAAGCACCCACACTAGGGCAATTCCACATGATGAGGACTCCTTGCAATCATGCCCCATCTGCTGTACTCGCACAGCTTGTCCTGTGGTGTCCCTGCCCATGCACCCACCGTTTTGAGAGTTTGCTCTTGTCGGGTGCCAAAATCAATGACACGTGGGCAAACTGCGGTTCGGGGAACCCCAGGGCACGGTAGATCAGAACCTGGCGAAGTGTGTTAGGCAGGTGCTCCTCAGCTCTGTAACAAACACACAGCCAGTAAAGCACAAGAACAGAGTGTGTTAAACTGCATCCTCCAAGCCCATGCCTACAGAGGCATGCTCTTGTTTCTATTTTGTAGCTGGGGCATTTTGGCAACCATGTCCTGCAAATGGTATTGGATGAAACAACGGCAGGGAAAACAGCCCATCACAGCCTCATAGATGTTATGGCAGTATCCTACTTCCTCCATCCGGAATTAAATGAAACAATTTGTTGATTGACCGCATTCTCATCATGTACTTATCTTTCCTTCAAAATCAGACCAGAGTATCTGCTATATGTTTAGTCGATGCTATGAAAAGTTCATCGACAGAAAATAAGATTCAGGCATATGGTAGTACTTTGAGCCGAATGACTCAGCACCAGAATTTGAACATTCGTAGTCAGTCCCCTAGCCCACCAAACATGGTGCCCTGGACCCAGGAAGTCCTAACGCACGAGTGATGCCCCCTCCAGTGGTCTGCACAGCATCGGAAGGGGGGAGTTGCCTTGGGGCTCGGGCTTTAGCCCAAAGATCGACACCCTTCGACGTGCACGATCGACAGAAATGGCGCTTAGGTCTATGTACTGCCATCGACATATGCTCGAAATCCCCGCCTTCTTCCACAGGACCACACCGACATGCCTGTGATTCCCCACTGCCTAGAGGTGTTTTGGTGGCTAAAGGCTAGCCGTGGGATATTTGTGTGCAACATAAGCTCTGTGTTCAGCACAGATCTCTGACTAAGTGCCTGCTTGATGCAAGCAAACCCACTTTCCCAACAGGCATCAGCCCTGCCAAACACAACAATAAAGCGTTCGGATGCTTCATCGGACACCCCACGTGTCGCTACGGTGGTGCTCCTGCATCTTGCGATGGCACAAGCAAAGCTCCGTTGCAGCGACGCCCTTGAAAGCGGCATGAATGGCACGCAAAGTGTTTCTTGTGGCACGTGCCCACCACAGCCAGTTTCAACGATCTTCTGGCTGCCACGCAGCAAGGGCATGATCGCATTCACCAAACTTTCCATGGTGGTCTTAGCACCCATAGCAACCTCGCCCACCGTGGCGGCCCTTTCTGCAAACGCCATGATTGTGAAGTTCGCCGATTTCTGGGTCTCCGATCTAGAGCTGATGTCCTCATCAGGCCATGAAAACCAACCATGGCCATCAAGGATCGAGCAGTACAGAACCCAGTTTCGTGGCCTTCCCCTTTTGGGAGAAACGGTTTCAACTTGCCGTCAAAACGTCAACAATGCATATCCACTCTAGGCTGTGCACTGTTAGTCGCAAGCCGACCTAGTCAAGGACCCGTTTGGGGGGCTGTTCGGCTACACCTTGAGAAGCCTCGACTTTTTGACCTGATTCACAATGGTTCAACGTATTGCAATGTGGCCGGTACTTGTCCATTGTCTACAAAAACTTGGCCGTACATAACAAGTGCCTTTATCCAATTTTGAAGGAAAACTAACAAGTTTGTGATACAAACGTATCCTCTTGAACAAACTACTTCATTTATTTCCAAACGCAGGAAGTGTTTTGCTCTTGATTGCTGCAGTTGACACAAATGTGGATTCTATTTATCGCCATTCCCAGCGCGTGTGCAATGGGCTCATTGGTGGCTGGTTTCTGTGGTGTTTCTCTTGTAGAACTTGTAGATGGAGACAAACGTGGTTCCAAGGTGCATGTGCACTTTGTGAAGTGCTTGATACCACAGGGGTCAAAATGTTTGCTGCTGAACTGCGCATAAGCAGATATCCACACTCACCCAAACATAGTGGAATACGACAGAGCAATTATCCAGTTGAAAGCAAGGTTGCTGCCTCTGAGAAAAGCAGAACTGTAAAGGTAGCTGGAACTACTGTAATATGATACAAAGATCAAACCTGTGGCTTTTTCACTGCATCCAATGCTGGTTGCAGCCAGAAGTATCATACGTCCCAGTTCGACTGGAGAACTCTGTGTCTGAGTGAAAGGTCAGAATAAAGGCTACAATTGGTCAGACAGCAATTTTCAACAACACTTTGAAGACATGAACTTGAACCCACCGAACGACATCTGTGATGCCCATCAGTGCATCATCGATGGCGACACAAAAATTGTAAACAGGTAGACCATTGCTCCTCATGATGACAAAATCACCAAGAGTGTTTGTGTTCCAGGACACCTGTCCTCGAACAGCATCGTGTATTGTCACCACCTCTTCCTGGAAACAACACACTCAGGTTACAGAATAAAGAGCCTCCACACACATATTGATGCATAGTCAAGTAATTCGACCCCATGAAGACATGTGCTTTTACTGGCTGCCTCAAACATTGGACAATCACCTTGTATTCTATGAAAACAATAGGCACTACTGTTAATCAGTGGCCTGAATTTAGTGTTGGATCTTGGAGTGCAACATGGTCTGCTGTCACAAGCCCAATTTGGTGGTACATTTGTAGAAGACATCATGGTCGACCTGGCGGCTTCAACCAGTTGGCAGTAGACAAGACAGTACAGTCAACCTGACATCTCCAAACAATATATCACTTCTCAAAAATGAGATCAGGGAATTTGCAGGCAAAATTTTTGACTGCTAGCGGCAGTTTTAACACATTTGATATTGCATTGGGCACACCATGACCAAATTTTCGGTGTACTTGTTCAACCCAACTTAGCAAAAGGAGCAAGGTCTGCTGTACAGTTATGGAACCAATCACCATTGTGCAAAGCAGCTGGAGCTGTGGCATAACTGCATCAAGGTGGCATCAGCATGATTAGCTGCTATCAATGAAACTAGAAAGAAACACCTGCATACTGTACAGGCTGTCTCCGCCCTTTACCTTTGGGACCCTGAAACGATAGCAATACGGTTCCCCTCTGTCCATCCACTCCTGCACCTTTTCCTTGTCGGCAGAAGCCCATGGTCCTCTGGCAACACAAGCCAGATCGAAATAGTGACTGAACAGTGCATCAAAACATGATATCCCAAGCCTCCTCATACAATGGTATTCTCTGCAGTGACTGATTGTCAACAGTGCATCACTGCACCACCATAAATTAAATGCAGATTTCCATCCTTGCTCTGAAGATTCTCTGTATGGATCTCCTTACAGTGCTGCCCATTTTTTGGAACATGCTGATTGATGGCAGCTCTCTGTACTGAAAATTGTGTTTTGCCCATGCACTCGAGGATATATTGGGTAAACAGCTTTCAGCACCTTAACACGTCAAGAACTGCTACCATTATGCAAGAGGGGCACCACAGAGCACTGTGTACAAATACAATTCTCGATGTCACCACCCGGCGAGCACAAGCAAGTCCACTGCAAAACACAGCAAAGACTCTTTAGGGAGTGCACCGTGAGCTAGGGATCAAGCAGGAAGGCAGCCACAATTCACAATATCCCACCTCCACTCATTCAAAAGTACAACCAGCTCGCAACAGTTAGGCCAGTTTCCAGCATCTATTCATCAGTGAAATTTTCTACCACGCTTGTGCCCTGTCCTGAACCATCAGCCCACCTAGAATGTTTCACCCAGATGAAGTACACACGTGCCACATTGTGTCCATCGCCATCCTGATGTGGCACATGAAGACAAGCAGTACAGGCGTCAGTGGCTCTCACCTGTAAATGGGTGGCAGCTTCAATTCCTCTGCTTTCCTCTTCATCCTAAAAATTGTGCATTGCACACATCACTTCTCACCACAGTGTGTGGCCCCAAGGAACAATGGGCTGAGACACAGCAGGCCCTCAGAATTGTGAAGGCAGGCTCCACTGATGTAGAATGAAGCCCTTTGTATTGGTGGAAACCACAGTACAAATACTGAACATCTTTGTTTTCGAATGAAAGCGATCCAGGAGTTTGGTGCAATTTTCCCTGCTGCTGACAGCTTCACTCTGCACCAGCATCCAGAACCCTTGATGGGTGCCACAACTGCAAAAGCTTGAGAATCGTGCCACAAATGAAAACATAGTACCAAGACAACAAGATGATTTTCTTCCCTTTTGAATCCATGTTGTGTGGAATATTGGGAAATAAGAACAGCAGTCACATACTGGCTGGCACTATGCACTTCTGCAGTATGATCTCATGGAGTGAAGCCCGTTCAGATGGAGTTTCATTTGATGAGCTTCAATGGTCACGTTGCACTTCTAGATGGGAAAGATACACCTGAATATAAAGTGACTCTTGTGTTCATGCCAGTCTACTGTGTTGTTGTCACACGCTGGCAAGCAGTTGTTGCTAGTTCTGTCTGCACTTGGGAGCGATGCAGAGTTCCAACATTGTTAATATAATACATTCTTGACAAACTGAAAATCGAACTTTTGCACGCACTTGTTGAGATCTTCATCTGTGCAGAAGCAAGGATAGGCCGCATCCTCAGCCACCAGCTGATTGACATATTTCATGTAAATATCTGTCCTCTCAGACTGGCGGTAGGGCCCATTAGGACCACCGACATCAGGGCCTGAGGAACCAGCAGAGGCTGCTTAGTACATAGAAAAAGGGCCAAACGTACTCGGTATCCATGCACACTTGGGAAGTGAGTGCATCCGGATTCTGTGAATCAGAAACAACGATTCCTGAGTCTCCTTTTCTGAAGACCATTTGTGTCCAGCAACTGTGGTTTTGATACTCTTCTGCCTCGTACATCAGTCTCTGTGTTCTGATTATGCCCTGAACATGCAGCACAACTCGCAACCCTGCTTTCATGCTGGGACTCCGTACTGTGCTAAGCCAGTTCGACAGCACCACACATGGCTGGGTTAAACCATGACCAGACACTGGCACCGATTGTGCCTTCGCAGATGAAGCACAGCAATGAGGCAACCGAGCACCAAGTCACAACTGCTGTCCACACCAGCATTATTGACTTGCCCAATTCCGCTGCTGACAATTTTGACTCTGGACAGAAAGTTCGCCACATTTCAGTGTGACACAACTGCGTATCAACTTTGTGACCAAATAGGATCACAAGCAAAGTTGGGCAGTCAAATATCCCCATGACCACGCCAAAGATTTCAAAAAAAGCCCCAATAGTGAACAGCACAGCAGCAAATTTGACTTTCAAGAATGCTCTGATTTGAAGGTGGAAATTCTGGGTAGAATACAGCCAAGAGAGTGTAGCCAATGGCATGCACATCAATTAAATGGTTCAACACAAAGAGCCCCTGCCCCACAAACACCTTCATCCCACATCAGCCCAAGCCATCGCAGCTCTCGGTACATTGCCTCTTCACTCTCCTTTGTAGATCGAGCTTTGTCAGTGTCTTCAACCCTGGGAATGGCAACAGTGCCATTAGTCATAGTGATGGCATGGACTGCTACTTGCCAAGGGCATCGTGCCTAATGCTACATTCCACGGCTGAAACTGCAATGCAATTCCTACTGTGATATGGAGTCCCTGAATCAGGCCGCATCGACTGAATGTCATGACCATAGATATTCCAACCTGCAGTGGCCCGTGGCACAGGCCATGAATACAGAAAGTGGAGAATATATTAGATGTATCCAACAGTGTCCAGCAAGAAGCAAGTGCTGCAAGCATATGCCTCTGATGGCATGGTTCTCATTTCCTGTGAACAACATACAACGGACACAGCATCCAACAAGATACTGTTCCTGAACAAACACATTAGAATCCCTGGGATGGCTGAAAACGAGCAAACCATTGGACAGGTCACCAGTGCGCACCATGAGGATGGTGTGTAATGTACTGACCTGCTGTGGAGCTGGACAACGACATTCACAAGATTAACAGCACTCACCTCAGAACCATTTTCCCCCCTCTGTTCTTGGCATAGAGCCAATTAAAAAGAGCGGTCCTGGCACCACCCACATGCAGATTTCCAGTAGGCGATGGGGCAAACCGGACCTTGACCTGCGGCAAGCCAATACGGCCACAATCAACATAAGCCGAACATGACGTTCCCACTGTCCATCGCGCACAGATGTGCCGCACTGCACAGTGCGCATCGAAAGCAGCAGAGATACAAAGTCTGGCACAATAACGACACTCCAAAGACGACTCCTTGCGTGCGAGAATGGTCCCGGGGAATTGTGTCCTTACGGGAGCATCTTGGGCGGCGCCGTGCATCTGCGAGGCGGGCGCTCCCACTGTGCTTGCAGCTCCGACGACACCGCAGGAGCACACAAGCGCTCTGCATCGCAAACAATCCAGCCGTATAAGATAGGCACTGATTGCAGAATCAGAGACTGCGCTGATGGCATGCCACCGCAACGGGCAGCGGGAGCGCACCACACAACAGACGCTCCCCAAGACTGATCAGGCCTTTGGTGAAAGTCGGACATGCCAAGCGGTGGAGTGGAGAGCGCTCACCTACGGCCAGCGCCGAGGGGCGAGGGCCCCTTCTGATGGTGCAATGAGGACGTCCCTTGCGAGCGCCAAGACGCGATCCGCACGCATTGCTCCTCCAGATGACCCATCCTCATGCCGAGGGGCGACGACAAGAGCAGGGCGCGCTGCCCCATGTTTGCAAGGGGGTTGGTTTCGCAGCGCCGGGGCCCCAGACGCCGCCTGTGGCGGTGGAAGGCGATTGGGGGGGGGGGGGAGATTTGCGATGTCAGCTCCAGCCCATGAAGAAATCCGAGTTTAACGTGCTCATCACGCAGTGGCACTGGTTGCCTGGTCGTTGCCTTTTGGGGGTGCATTGCCTGCTGGCCTGCCGCCAAGGTTCATCCATCTCGCCGGAAACGTGTGAATGGGTGGTGGCCGTGATCCAAACTGCCAATTAGAGCTCATCCATTGGGTCTGATCAAGGCGGTTTTATTCACAATCCACCATGAAAATTACGCCATCTATATGCAGAGAGGAATATTCCTCTCCCATTAATGGGGAATCCTCATGTGCGTGCCAGAACCGTGGTCCATTTCTTGGAGGGAAAGAACAACGCAGAACTGTTTCAAAAACCGACCACCCGGCAAGCAGGTGGTAGCGGGATGAGTCTTTGGCGCACACCAGCGCCGAGTCCCAGCTCAGCTACAAACCATGAGTGGGAATGCGCAGGTGACAGCACTTGCAACATGCCTCCTGGACTGGGCATCGAATCGCAACCAATCTTCAATCTTTGAATGTTGGTTGTGATTGGCTTCCCAGTCTCGGAAAGCCAACAACCTGGTTGCTCTCAGGAATGAGCAATTCAATTTGTCATCAAGGGACGTGCTCCCCTTCAGCATTTTCGGTCTCTGCAGTTGTAGCATGCAACCTATTCGTGGACATCAGGTGCGCGCATTTTGGCATCTGGTTTTACTTGCAGCGCTGCGTGCGAAGCCGTTGCGCCTGAATTCAAGTGACGTCGACCATGTAGGCATCGGCGTGTGGCACTGTAGGGCATTGAAGAAATAATACATATCAGGATGAGGAGGCAGCCATGAGGTTCATCTTCCGCCCGGGTATCCAGTGTGCATAATTGACTCAGTGTTAAATATCGAAAATGTTAAATATCGAAACTGCTCATACTTTGTCATCATCATCATCACCATCAGGAAATATTACATATCAAGGGGAGGATTTAGCCGTCAGCTCTCCATTTCACCCTAGCATTGCAGTGTCTATGACTTGTTCCATGCGAACCTGAGAAATTGCCACAATTCAACCACTGAGTTGTTGTGCGTTCGAGTGCGTCAGTCGCAAATTCAGCATCACCAAACCGCTTTGACCCACTGTTTACAACTGATTGTCTCATGCGTTGTCATGAACACCAAGAGCATCAATGCACTCTTACTCACTCTGCAATAGCTCATCAAGCCAGTGCGCAAGTGCAATACCATCGAAATAACTATATAGTTATTACATATATGTAATCTCTTTTACATCTAAAGATATTGTCTGTACATTGTCTTGCTGTTGTTCTTATCTTGCATCCATTATGTCATTTGAGTTAGTTTATTTGACCAGTCAATTTCTTGAAACACTCTCTGACTGCCATCAGAAGGACACCGTGCCTCTGATGCGCCGCGCAGTCCTCCTCTGAATAAATGTTTACCAATACAGAGGCGCGCATTGATCTTTGGAGGGAAGCCTCTCTGACATCGCCGTGCGGGAGGGATGGCGGCGGCTGAGCCGCCAGGAGCCCAGCGAACAACAGAGTTCTCCAAATACGTCAAACGGTTTGTATTGATCTAGCCCTGAAAGACAAATTTCAGAGCCCTGTACATGCCCATCTATGCCCCTGCAGGATGGTAAATCTCACACGAGTGAAATGGCAGGAAACGGGTGCAAAAGAGGCAGGATGGCCCAGCATGCCTTCCGGTAAGTGCTTGCATGAAAACCGAGACACTGCTTGCATGAATCGGTTTTCCAGGCACGCAGGATGTTGATTGGGTAAAATGCGCGCTCGGTAGCATGTTGATGTATGGGTGAATTGAGTATGCATAGGCCGGCGTTTCCCACCGCTCAGGGTGTTCATAGATTTGCTGCGCAATACGAGCCCTGCATTTTCTTTGGAGCATTTGCCAGGCCCATATTATCGTGGATCCGCGAGAGCTGCAAAAGTTTATGTTCGTGTTTCAGGCATGTATTGTCGCTTCGTGATATTCGATTTACCATTTAATTTCATATCGAGAACGTGGGTTCAGCATTCTTACCTCGATTGATTAAACAGTCCATGTATTGTGCTCCGGAATACGCACATTTGTAAGCTGAAGGGCCAACGCTGTTACGATAAAGGGAGACAGCGCTGCTGGTACAAAAAGGCAACCAACATATCTTGTTGCGGCAGGCGGCCACAGCACAGGGCTACCACGGAAGCCAAGAAGCCGCACCTGTGGTATGGGCCACACCTCGTTGACGCATTGATAAACTAGGCACCGGCAAGTGCCGTTGGTTATGCTGTATTGAACCTGTTGTTTGCTCATTGGTATGTTGGCAACCGTCCACAAATACCCGCACCAATATTGCCCTCTGATTTGCTTTCTATGATGCTCATATCCAGGGGATCTGTGCCTTTGCTGAACATCATATTCCAAATTTGTTTCCTTGCAATCGCTCTGGAGCGACAGCGGAGAAACAATTAGGCACCGAGCGATGTATCTTCACCTTTTGGCACTATTCTTATCTCTTTTCTTCAGGCCTCCTCATTATCAGGGCATGATGATGTAGGGGATCGTGTGCGCGTGTGGGTAGGTGGAGTGGGGTTGGGGTTGGGGTTGGGTGGATGGGTTGGGGGCCGGGGGGGGGGTTCGTTCACAAGCTGCTTTCCACTTCTTCATGCTGGCATATATTTTACTCAGAACTGAATGGCAAGCAGACAATATCACCTGTTCCAAATTCAATTTCCAGAACTCCACTGATATGCTGTAAGCCTAGGCAGGGTATGTACTGCGCGTATTGATTCTGTACTTCCCAACATGCCTGCGCAGTAGGCCAAGCCTCCCCGCTCCGAGTCCAACTTCTCGTTCGCATCCACATGCAGCCAATTCTCCGATCGCGTGGCGCATTCACTAAGCGGCTCCCCAGGTACGGCGTCATGGCTGGGCGAGCACACACTCTCGAGCGTGCGGCGGATGTGGGGCGAATGCCAAATGGGACAACAATGGCAAATGGGATGGCTGATAGCGCTCGCATACGGTTTCCGCATTCCGGTGCGGCGTTCAAATTTCTGTCAAACTTTCCTTACAACAGAAGAAAGGCACAATGGCAGATGGAGGGTTTTCAGTTTTGGACAATACATCCCTATATCGGGCTGCAAACATGGTATCATATTTGGAGCTGTGCTTTATTGGAATGTTACCCGCCGTATGTTGTCGATTTTGACCCAGCGTCAATGCATCTGCTGTTGATGGCAATATACAGGAGTGACTGCATAGCGCGGCGTTGCTCAAGGCGCCGACTGGAAAAGAATAGACCAACGTCCTGGCACGTTCCCTGTGCTCTGATGTAATGGCCCTTAGCGCCATAGAATAAACCCGTTGTATGCAGTCTACCATTCCCAGTCATCTGCAAAAAGGACAGTCGTCGATTCAATGTTCTCGCTGTATTTCCATTTGATGTTATGTCCAGCAACGCTTCAGCAAACCCCCATGCGCTAACAGCGACAAACATTACTGCGTGTGCCATTGTTGTTTCTTTGCTGATTCACTGGCCCTGGTGCAGCACTATTCCGCGCTGCCTGAGTGGTATTGTGCACACACTGTTGCATCAACGTCCGCCTTTTTTAGATGCAGGGAACAGGGATAAGAGTCGGCAGAGGCCCCTCGCAGATGAGGTCGATGGCGACACTGCGCCTGGAGTGAAGCGGCTGGCGCGATATGCAGCGAAGCTGGCAGCAGTGGCTAAGGGAATCTTGCTACCCCCTTCAAACGCGACGGAGAAGCCTCCTCAGGTAGACTCCATCATGTGGCTCACAAGCCTGGGATCAGTGGCGGTAGACCTGGATACAATGTGCCCAGTGCAACATCCAACAATATACCATGTAAGCCAATGAGTTGTGATCCCTTGTCCCCAATAGAAATTCCTCAACATCTATAGGAATTTGACTGCCCAAATCGTCGGCACCACATGAGTGTTCATGGATTTGTGGCCTCTTTCAGCCAAGCACTTCAGGTTTTGTGACATTGTTTTAAGCCAACCGCAGTAAGTCTTTGTTTGTCCGCTCCTCCTTGGGTGCCAATGCAATTCCTGTCCTGGTCCATGTTTTGTGCTGATGTACTCTTGCTTCAAGGATTATTTACAGCACTTACCACATACCAGATTCCTGAAGTTTTACCAACATCAGCAAGGTGCAGAAGGCAGTGACGTTGCATTAATATGCAATTTGTCAATTTACGTCTTGCCTTTGAGCAGCTGAAAATATTGACGGATAATCGCCAGTGCGATTATGTCTGATCACATGGACGGCGGCCGGATAAAATGAGTGGTTGCGCGACATAAGGGCGATACTGCATATATACACCCCCGTCATAACCTACAACGTTAAAGGGCACCGCTTCGCCTGAGGCATTTCAAGTCATTAAAAGCTTCGAAATGGATCGCTGCTGCATGGCCAACTTGCTGATGCATTGAGAAAGACATGGCTTGGTTGAATGGAGTGTGCGGAAGCACATACATTCGCAATGCTCATCGGAAAAATCACCTTTATCCGCATGGGCGGTCGGCAGCTTCCGTGTCAGTAATTTCTATCTCTCTTAGAATGTGACCCCG